GCGTTGGGTAGAGGTTTCGCTCAGGCATTTGGATGTCTACGTTTTTTTTATTCAAGAACATAATTTTCAGTGTGGTAGTGACTTACGTGTGCAAGGGTATAAGTGTTATGCGGGGAATTCGAATAATCTCAAGGGTGGGGTAGTGATAGGCATAAGGGAGACCAGCCCTTTTATGCTTGTTGCATGGGAGTGGGGCGGTGGGGGCCGGGTCGTGCGTGTGGTGGGTTCATGGGGGAACATTCAGGTGGGTTTCGTGGGTGTATATATGCCAGCGACATCAAATCGACGAATAAAGGAGGATTTTGTGTGTGATGTTTTGGTTTATTTTCTCAGAGGTCTACCCTTAGTTTCTGTCATAGCTGGCGATTGGAATTGTGTGATCCGGGAAAAAGATGTCGAACCGCATGGTGGAGGGTGTAATTTAGGGGTTTTATGGGAGGTTCTGCAGGCGATTGACGTAGTGGATGTGGTGGGTAGTGATGGGTGGAATGTGAACCACACTTTTTGAAGGAGGGGTTACACCGCACGGCTGGACAGGGTTTACGTCACTAGCTTAATCCGTAGTGGTAGGGTTGATTGCGTTGATCTGGGTTTCTCGGACCACCGTGGTGTTCTAGTAACACTCGAGTGGGAGGGCGTTATATGTGTTTTTTCTAGTTATTGGAAATTAAATGTTAATTTGTTGCGAGGAGTAGATGCTTTGGAAGCTTTCAGGTTATGGTGGGTTAGATTCTGGAATGAAGGAAATGGGATAGTGGATGTTGTAGAGTGGTGGCATTCAAAGGCGAAAAATGCAATACAGGGTTTTTACAGAAGGTTAGGGGAGGAGGAGGCGTGTTATAGATATGGGAAGCAAAAGTATTTGGAGGGACAGCTGCGGGATTGTTATGGCACAGGCGGGAGGTATGACCTCGTGGAAATAGAGTGTCTTTGTAGTCAATTATGGGACATGCAGAATGATAATTTTCAGACTTTGAGGGTGTGAGCGGGGATTGAGGAGGTGCTTTGGGGGGATAAGCCCTCTGTCGGGGTTCTGCATAGTTTCAGAATGATACATATGGCGACGACGGTTTTGTCAGTGGTGGTCGGTGATGACTTGGGTGGTTATCATAAAGGGCAAAGGCTAGTTACTACTGAGAGCATAGGGACCTACGCAGACCAATGGTTTGAGAGAAAATGGAAGAGTAGAGAGGGGAATCGAGTGGCGAGGGAAGCTTTACTGCATGGCATAGTGGCAAATTTGAGAGACGTGGATCGAGAGGACATGGAGGGTTACATATCGGAGGAGGAGGTTTACAAGGCTGTTCAGGGACAGGCACTGCAGAAATCACCTGGTTGGGATGGGATACCAGGTGATTTTTATGTAGTTCATTGGGAACTGTTAAAACACATGTTGGTCCAACTTTACAATTCAATGAAAATTAGAGGTAGAATGGGTGATAAGGCAGGGTTGGGTGTTGTAGTGTTGGTACCAAAGGCCGAAGTCCGCGAATCTTAGGAGGCATATAGGCCCATCATGTGATGGGGGCGGATTATAAGATTTTTGCACGTATTTTGGCAAACCGGATGAAACGAGTTTTGGACAAGGTAATATGGGAAGGGCAATACGGGATTCCTGGGCAATCTATGAGAGATGGTCATCAACGCCTCAAAAGTTTTGTGAAGGATTGTGGTGGAGGCGGAGTCGTAGGATTAGATTGGGAAAAGGCTTTTGACAATGTGGATAGGGAACCATTATTAGCTATACTATTGAAGCAGGGTTTCGGGGAAGAAATAGTAACATGGGTGCGTACGTTATATATGGAGGCACAGGTACGAGTCCAGGTCAATGGGAGGTTGGGGTCCATGATAGGCATGGGGTGGGGGCTGCGGCAGGGGTGTCCCCTCTCGCAGCTTTTGTTTGCCTGTTTGCAGGACCCCTTTTATAGATTGGTATTGGGTGGGGTAGGAGGGAGGATTGTGTGCAGGGCGAAGCAATAGGGATTTTAGGTTATGTGGATGATACCACCATCTTGGTGCAGAGTAGGAATGGTTTGGCATTCGTAAATAAGGTTATAAGGTTTTTTAGTGATGCTTCTTCCTTGTGCATTAATAGAGAAAAATCCAAACTTTTGGAGGTGGGGTCCTGGGTGGGGGGGACGTTAGGTACGGAGTATGGGTGGAGAACCATTGAGCAGATAAAGATCTGCAGTGTGTATTTTTGCAATGACGAACAGGCGGCATGTGCATTTAATTCGTCTATTGTAGTTGCAGCCGCAGTTCGTAGGATGGCGGGATGGAGACCAAGTGATGTAACATTACACCAACGAGTAATCGTTGTCAATGTACTGGTGTATAGTAAATTATGGTTTGTGGCAGTGGTCTATCCTTTGATCACAGATGATGTGTTGTGGTCACAGAAGAAGGCTTTGGATTTCATATGGGGTTACCGTAGGCATTGGTTAGGGAAGGATATAGTTATGATGCACGTTGCTAAGGGAGGTTTAGGGCTAATACCACTACACAGTCGCCTAATGACCATATACGTACAACAGGAATTCTTGACAAGGGGTGGGGTCAGGGGAGCGAGGGTTGATGTGGTGATGAGGGAGGTTCAACGATGGTGGGTGGGTGCGAAGCGATGCTACGGCACTTATTGGTGGTGCAACACCCTGTGAAAGTTAGGGCAGGTAAATTAGACAATATAGGTATAACACAGAGAGGTCATCGGTGATGAGGTTTTCCCAGGATATCATTGGAAGACTATATGACAGGGGTTCAAGAAATTGCACTTACAACCACGGGTTAGGGAAACTGGTTACCACTTCCTCCACGGGATTTTGGCGTCCAAGGCACAATTGTACGCTATGGGAATGACCGAGGATCAGACCTGTGCGTGGTGCAGGTGGCCGGAAACGGCGTTTCATGTCGTATATTTTTGTGACAGTTTACATAAGGTTAGGAATTGGTTCAAGGGTGTTCTCAGACGAGTGGGAGGGGGGGGGTGTCCATGCTAAGAGTTTTAAGTCTTGAGATGGGAGATTGCTTGGATGCGGTGCGACGTTCTGTGTCGTATTTGGTACTTGACTATTTATACATCTCATGGAGTATGCGAGGGCATAGGGGTGCTATGCATGTCAGGACACTGATGTGCCATGTTTATAGGATGAAATGTAGGAATAAAGAGGTGTATGGGCAATGCTGGGAGGGAGCTTTTTCGTTGGGGTATAGGAATCTAATGATGGAAATGTTACAGGAGTACTGAGGTGTATGTAAGTATAATCCCTCGGTGGAGCCAAGGGGTTGGTCTCCCGGGAGGGGGAGGGAGGGAAGAGTTAGGTGGGTTTTTTTGGTGTCTGTACATTTTATTTGGTGTATATGGTGATCGGGGTGTAATGTAGTGGTGAGGGAGGGGGACCTGTGTGTGGTCTGGGGCTTAGTGTCTTGCTAGCATGAATGAGTGTCATAGCCTGAGAAAGGGGGGCAGTGGTACTCAGAACCATGGTATGGTTTTCTCAATGCTGAGTCATGCTGCACTACTAAAGTCATCAATAGAGGCTGCGCCATTGTAATTCTATTGTCTATATGCCATGCATTCTCGTAAGCAGTACAATTATTCAAGTGGATGTATTATGCAGACATGGTTTTTTTTTTACATATCACGGAAATTTTTTTGTAACCATGGTATAGGTTTGTTTTGCTAGGTAGCTCCTTTATGTTTTGCTGATATTATAATGCCTTATTGCTCTGTATCCTAGGATTGTGAGATAGAGGTTTTTGTTTTCACACAGAATACTGACGTGTGCATGTACTGTCATTGTTGTCTGGACGACACACTTGGTAATGCTTTCTCAATTTTTTTTATATCTGATATATGGATTTTGATAAAAAAAAAAAAAGAAGGAAAAGAAAAAAAAACGAAACTTCGTTAATAGTTTATAATTTAATGTGTTGTGATTTTGGTGTTCATGTACCACCATTGTTTGTTAATACTTATTACTTAAGTTACTGATGAGTTCAGGATATGTACATAAATTTAAGTTGAATTAATATGATTCTTCAGATTGGTGAATGTGGGTATAATTTTAATGTGTGTTGGGGGGGGGGGAGAAACGTCAGCTGTGTGTCAGCACAGACAATAGTAATTATCTTGTATAATGCCGGGCTTTGAATGATACGTTGTGAGTTGTATTTCTGAGTGTCATACTGCCCTTAAGTATGGTGTTATTTTCTGTGTTGGGGTTGTGATTTTTGGTTTTATTGTTCATAACCAGTATCATGGTTCATTTTATGATACTTTTATACCTCCTTGTATTGTGCAATGTTTTAAATAAAATATATAAAAAAATAAGTGTCCGGGGCCCCAGACTGTTCAACAGCCTCCCACCAGCAACAAGGGGCATTACCGGTAGACCCCTGGTTGTCTTCAAGAGGGCGCTGGACAGATACCTAAAGACGGTGCCGGATCAGCGGGGCTGTGGTTCGTACGTTGGACTGCGTGCGGCCAGCAGTAACAGCCACTTTGATCAGGCCCTGATCCACCGGGAGGCCTGGTCGTGGACCGGGCCGCGGGGGCGTTGATCCCCGGAATACCCCCCAGGTAGCCTCCAGGTATCCTGACCTAACACAGCAGTAGCGTACCTGGTTCACAACCAGGGTGTTGAACCCTGTTTGAGACTAGATGTTTTGGTGCTCCTGGCATCTAGCAGTCGCTGTATAGTTCATAGAAATTAGTCGATTGTTGTAGATCGCATTCGGGGAGACGACCTTAAATAGTAGTGGAAATAAGCCATATGGGTTATTAGTCCTCCCGAGACAGTAATCAGAGTAAAATCTTCCTGTAACCAATCTGGTAGAAGAAAAATATTATTTGTTTGCGAGAAATGCAATTTAACTTATTGTCTCTCCCGCGACAATAAGTTAAATTTCAATTTGTTTACATTGCATAAAGATATAAAAAATAAAGAGATATTTTGTGAGTTACAGAAGAACGTCTTTATCACAGTGTGGTTTGTTAACAGAGTCACCCAGACGAGGGCGCCATCGGTGACAACACAGCAGCCAACGCTCTGCGCATGTACTGTAACCACAGCACCACTGACTACCTGGAGGCCCCAGGAAATAAGTGGGGTGATTGGTTAGGACCTTCCTTCTGCCGCAGTAACATGGCTGTCTGCGGCATCATGACCCTCGTCCAGGAGGACCAGGGCATATTTACTGACGACACGGCCCTCAATGACGTCAGGTTTCTCTGCTGCGATCTTCCTGCTTAACTTTACAACTGTTATTGGCTTAAGCAAAAGTTTTCTTAAAGAAATCCACTGCTCCATTCATTATTTACAATAAAAAAAAATTGAAAAAAAAAATTGTTTGTTATTGTGTCCAAGATTGAAGTTTCCTGCTTATCAATAATTTACAGCCAGAGTTCTTGTGCAATATCAAGCAGAGATATATTGTTCCCTACACATATGCTGCTATGTATGATAATTCTATGTAACTGTATTTGTGTTTACCTGAATAAACTTACTTACTTACTTACTTATATATCAGGAATCCTTTAATAATGAAACTTGCATTGACAAGTCGTGGCGCAAATACCAACTGTGTCCACTAGATGACAGTGTTGGATCTCTCTTTCCAATCATCGATATGTAAACATGTCATAATGATGAGAAGTTCAAGTCGCTAAATTATAATGCTTATTTTACGTTTTAATTTTAACTCTTTTTGTGTGAAATTCCTTCTAACAAACTTGGGTAAAAAAGTGACGTCAAGGAGTACTGAGCTGTGTGATGAGACGAAAGAAGCAGTTTATTATTTACAATACTTTGTAGACCCTTCAGCATGCTGCTGCTGTTCTATTCTATATGAGAGTTACAGTGTGGAAACAAAAGCTAGCTATGTTTTCTTGTCATATTCCTGTGATGGCTTACTCAGCCCTGTAACAACTTCAGACAGTATTACCAAGGCTGGCTCCTCCTCAGGAATTTAATTAATGAATACAAAAAGAAATAATAACTCACAGAGATAAACACTTTATTATTTAGTAATGCAAAGATAAAACATTAAAAATGAAGGTGTATCCTACTTGAAAGAAAAATGAAAAATGAAATGAAAAATTGCCATTTGAATTCAACGCTAATATGTACAAGTAAACTGGTGTGTCTGGTTGATGTTGACACCGTCTTGTAGAAATTGTAGTCGTTGATGATGGGGCGGTCACAGGTGTTGAGTGACAACCCAACGACTAGTTCTTCACAGAGTCTATAGCCTTGAACAGTCAGTCCAGATGACAGGAACGCAGGTTCTTTACCACTACAAAGATGAGGAGTAGTGTCCTGTACAATTAATCAGGTAGGTAGATTATAAGGTGACTCCCAAGACCGGTTTCAGTCCGTCTCCTTCAACACTTCTCGTTGGTTGGCAGGTGACCCGATCTGTCATTCCAAGCTGGAAAGAGAGACAGGTTACCCACTGCTTAAGAAATCACTCTCCATGATAAGTGTAAGATGCTTAAAAAAGGTGATGACTATCTAAAAGTCTTATGGGGAGCTTAAAACTGAAAGGACCAAGTTTATTATTGGTCAGAAGTGAAGCTTTCAACTAATATTCACTAGAATAGGAGCAGAGGCTTTTACTTACAGTTGTGCTGGGCAGGGCCAGATTAAGAAGTCTCTGGGCCCTAGGCTATTCAGATTGGCGGGGCCCCTTTGATTTACAGGTAAGCGAAGCGACCCCTTCCAGCTTGGGGGTGGAGGGGGGTTTGGTGTGAGCCTGTTTAAGGTCTAATTAAATACATTCTGGCCATTTAGATTAAATTTAATAGGGAAAGTACATCAAGACAACCAAAACCATTTACCAACAGCCATTATAACTATCTTCTTAAATCATGCATTTTAAAGAAAATAAACTCAAAGCAGGTGAAATCGCAGATCTAGAGAGTGTACAGAGATCCTTTACTGCACGTATAAGTTCTGTCAAGCACCTTAACTACTGGGAACGCTTGGAAGCACTTGACTTGTACTCGTTGGAACGCAGGAGGGAGAGATATATCATAATCTACACTTGGAAAATCTTGGAAGGAATGGTCCCAAATCTGCACACAGAAATTACTCCCTACGAAAGTAAAAGACTGGGCAGGCGATGCAAAATGCCCCCAATAAAAAGTAGGGGCGCCATTGGTACACTAAGGGAAAACACCATAAGTGTCCGGGGCCCAAAACTGTTTAACAGCCTCCCATCAAGCATTAGGGGAATTGCCAATAAACCCCTGGCTGCCTTCAAGAGAGAGCTGGACAGATAATTAAAGTCAGTGCCAGATCAGCCGGGCTGTGGCTCGTACGTTGGACTGCGTGCGGCCAGCAGTAACAGCCTAGTTGATCAGGCCCTGATCCATCGGGAGGCCTGGTCATGGACCGGGCCGCGGGAGCGTTGATCCCCGGAATAACCTCCAGGTAACCAGGTAGCATAGTATTACTAGATTAGGCTATTAAAGTAGTGACATCATGTACCTATTATATTCAGCATAACCACTACAGCACTATTATTCCCTTTATAAATCACTGGCCATTATTGTTATCATTGCATCATGCATAAGACTATCAAATCATGTAAACTCAAGAAAGTAAAGAATTGTTTATATTCACAGGCACTTCTTAAATAAACTTTTTTCTGGATTTCATATTGGCAAAATCATCAATTATATTCTGAAAATCAATATTTCTTGTTAGATCAGACTCAATGGTCAACAAGGCTAGGTTACACAATTTGTCTTGGCTCATTGTTGAACGGAGCTGGTTTTTCACTCTTTTCAAAACAGAAAATGAACGTTCTCCTTCACAGTTAGTAGCTGGAAGTGGGTTTGGGAAAGGCGATACCCCTATGTCAACATTAGGAAGGTTTCTGAGATACCTGCATTTCTTAAATGTTTCAAAGCAGCTGAGGGCGCACATTTTTCAGGTGGAGCTTTAATCTGATTCATATACCCAAAAAAATGAACTATTTCTTCAACACATGTGTCCTGAACATTTGCTGAAAGGTGTTGTTGCAACTTTAATGCAGCTTCTCTCAATTCTGCATCTGGCATAGTAGTAATTTTGAACAGAAATCCAAACTTGTCATTGAGATTCTGGCAGATTTCTTTTCTTTTCACCAATTCTGTAATCAGTGAATCCAGAATGACGAAGTATGTAGCTGTCTTACATTTCTGCCTTGGTAGCAACACAATTTCATTGTCTGGCTCTTCAAAATTGCGTTTCCTCTTCCTTGACCGCTGATGATCAGCCTGGTAACTGTAGTCTTTCACCAGCAGTTTAGCTTTCTCTTCAAACATTTCAAAAGCTTCATCATTGCGAAGTGAGCTTACAAATTCCACTAAGCCAACGGAGATAAAACACCTCAATTACTGGGAGCGCTTGAAGCTCCTGAACCTGTACTCCCTGGAATGCAGGCGGGAGAGATACATGATTATATACACCTGGGAAATCCTAGAGGAACTAGTGCCGAACTTGCACACGAAAATCACTCACAACGAAAGCAAAAGACTCGGCAGACGATGCAACATCCATCCAATGAAAAGCAGGGGTGTCACTAGCACGTTAAGAGACCATACAATAAGTGTCAGAGGCCCGAGACTGTTCAACTGCCTCCCAGCATACATAAGGGGGATTACTAATAGACCCCTGGCAATCTTCAAGCTGGCACTGGACAATCACCTAAATTTGGTACCTAACCAGCCGGGCTGTGGCTCGTACGTTGGATTGCATGCAGCCAGCAGTAACAGCCTGCTTGATCAGGCTCTGATCCACCAGCAGGCCTGGTCACAGACCCGGCCGCGGGGAAGTTGACCCTCGGAACTCTCTCCAGGTAAACTCCAGGTAAACTATACCAGATTTATTTTTCTGCTACACTTGTCTCTGATATTATTTGTAGGTGTTAACCATATTCCTTCCCTTCTCTCCTCTTTCTACTTATTAGATCTGTTAGCTATCATCTGCTAGTTAGCCATGTAATTGTTTTAGAACTTTCACGGCACACATAAGTACAATAAGGCACCTAAATTACTGGGAACGGTTGAAGGTCCTTGATCTATACTCCCTCGAACGCAGGCGAGAGAGATACATGATAATATACACTTGGAAGGTCTTGGAGGGATTGGTACCAAACCTACACACGAAAATCACTCCATATGAAAGCAAAAGACTCGGCAGGAGATGCAACATTCCCCCAATGAAAAGCAGGGTGCCACGAGTACATTGAGAGACAACACAATAAGTGTCCAGGGCCCAAGACTGCTCAATTGCCTCCCAGCATACATAAGGGGGATTGCCAATAGACCCCTGGCTGCCTTCAAGAAGGTACTGGACAGGCACCTAGAGTCAGTACCTGACCAACCGGGCTGTGGCTCATATGCCAGCTTGCGTGCGGCCAGAAGTAACAAACTTGCCAAGTCTTTTGCTTTCATAGGGAGTGATTTTCGTGTGCAGGTTTGGTACCAATTTCTCCAAGACCTTCTAAGTGTATATTATCGTGTATCTCTCTCGCCTGCGTTCGAGGGAATGCAGATCAAGGACCTTCAACCGTTCCCAGTAATTTAGGTGCCTTATCGTACGTATGTATGCAGTAACAGCCTGGTTGATCAGACCCTGATCCACCATGAGGCCTGGTCTCGGACCGGGCTGAGGGAGCGTTAACCCTCAAAACCCTCTCCAGGTTAACTCCAGGTTGGAAATGATTTGGTTAGAGTGAGGTGAGGTGAGGTGAGGTGAGGTAAGGTGGTTGGTTGTGGTATTGGGTGTAGGGAATCTTTTGTGTTGGGGAACGAGTGACTGATATTTTGTGACTGGAGGAAGTGCACGATATTTTGGGATGAGTGGTGGTAGAGGTGGAAGTGAACTAGGTGTCAGGTGAAGGTGAAGTTGAGTTTCAGTGGTAAAAGTTTCTTTCTATGTTGGGTTCATAAAGGCCACTGACATCATAAGCCGTATCGAGCCGGCTTCCCGATGGCACAGGAAGATATGTTACCCAAAGCTGCGCAATGAAAGAAAAGGAACAAAAGTTACTTTGTAAATGGAAAGAGAAATTTGAAGTTTCCAATTAGATCCGGTGGACCCCCCTTGCCAAGCCCCAGCAGAGCTGAACGCCTCTACCCCCCCAACCTGAGTTCTGTAAACGGCTTCCCACAAAAGACCGTTTAAGAATTATCTGCAGAGGGGAAAAATGGAGCTGGCTAAAAGTAAGACGATGACCAGGTGCCCCTCCTGTACAGTGTTCGGCAGGCAAAGACGATGAGGACAAGCATCCTAGAAAGAACAGGGGAAATTTATCACCGATACTCAGGCAAGAGCGAGACGTCCACACTCAACGAAGGCTGGCGCAGAAGACTGACGATAAGAATTTGGTAGAACAGGTAGCTGATGGTGGAAATTATAGTGCTGAGGGAAGGGGTTTATATTGGGGTAGATGGAGAAGGTTTATGAGTGTTGGAGCAAGTGCAGGCAGGAGTTGAGGAGACGTTGAAAGTGGAAGTTTAAAATTAT